AACATTGCATAATAACAATTCTAAGAAAATATCAGAAATTGTTTATTTAAAAAAGAAATTAATATTGATGATATTGTACAATTTTCTTTCATAAATGAGGTTTATAATTTTTAATAAAATTTTTATTGTGATTTTTTTCTGTTAAATTTAGTAATAACTAAACTTTGGCATGATCCATTAATATCTTAATTATGTAATATAAAAACTGAATGAATAAAAATTAAAACAGTATAATTAGAATTGTCTATACATAGAAAAAACAAGTAATTTGAACTGATAAATTTAAAAGTATTGAAATCAAAACACAAATTCCATTACTCATATATTTAGTGAATGCATTTAATCCTAATATCTGGTGTAAATTTAACATTCAAAAGTTGAAAGGAATAGGCGTATAATGTAAAAATAATTTTTGAAATTGAAAGATGATAACTATACAGACACACACAGACATATATATACAGTATATATATGTATTATACAGAATATTTTAGAGCTACCATTCAAAATTCATGAATATAGTTATTCAAAACACTTATCAAATTTTTTTTTATCTAAAATATGTTGAAGATAAATGTCTTAATTATTAATTTATAAATTTCTATCATTTAATCATATCTAAAAAATTTAAATGAGGATTAATTATCTTTTAAACAGTAATTAAAAGTGATTTATTAAAACATTAAAAACACTGAACAATGAATAAGATTTAATTACTTTCAACTATTTTCATTTCTTTTCTTAAAGGAAAAATTTGTACTGTGTTATATTTAATTAAGAATTTTTAATAATTTATGTTTTTATTTTGAAATAAATGGATGTATATTTTACTGAAAAGTAAATGTAATATATGAAAGTGATAATTAAGTGATTAAACGAGGAAGTAAATGTGATATGAAAGGAAATAAACATTTATATAATAAATATTGTATTTTATTCGCGAAGCATTCGTGATGAAAACTACATCACGAATGCTTGTAAATTTTGTTAATAGATTTAGTATCTTTTGTTGTGATTTTGTTACTATATATATCAACTAGATCAAAGCTCCAAATTTTCAGTTTAATAGAAAATAAAATTTATAATTAATATAAAAAATTTTTATGATTTATTATTAATCTTTTTATAAATCTGAAAATAGGTCTAATTAGAATAAATACTTGAAATCTGTATATTGACCATAATTTTTTTATATTTGATATCTGTATGAAATTATAATGCTTTTTATTTTCATAAGTCCAAAATATAACTGCAAAGTTCAGTAGGCTGAATAATTTTCAGTTTCAGTTACTAGAGAGTAAAGGCATAATTTATTGATTTATTATTTTTAAATTGATAATTATATGACAAATTAGAGATAATGGTTTTTCTTTAAACAGCTTTTGAATGATCTTTTTGATAAAATACATTTTAAAAATTAGAAATTTATATGTATTTTGTATTATATTGTATTAATAAACAAAATTGTTTGCTTATTTTTCACTCTTATGTAGAATCTAACCCTATACCTCACTGTAAATATGGGTTCATTTGCGCCGGCTTTTGTAGGAACGGAACTGCGGCGTAAACCGAGGGCTACCTGTAATATAAATTTTGATATTGTATGTAGATAGTGAGACAGAATTTTTAATTACTGTTAATGGGTAGACTTATTCATCTACCAATTAACAAGAAAAAAAGGAAACAAATAATTTATTCTGCATTATTTTCACAAATATATATATATACAAAGCGTGTTTTTTAAGTAAGTACCATTTTGATATTAAAAAAACACAAACACAATTTTTTTTAACAGTTTTTTCTTACAAGAAAGCCTGTACCTTAACCTACTTTTCAACATAATTTCCTCCAATATTAAGACACTTATTGTATCATACAACCAGCTTCTGAATTCCATTCTCAAAGAAATCTGCCACCTGATTTGCCAACCACTGCAACATTTTGACATCATCATCATCATAGCACAGACTGCCTAGATGTTTTTTTCAAGTGGAGGAACAAGTGATAGTCACTAAGCACTAGATCAGGGCTATACAGAGGGTGATCAAGTTGTTCCCAGCCATGTGATGTGATAAAGTCTTGGGTGAGCTACGTGTGGACAGGCATCGTCATAAAGCAAAACAATCCCCTTACTGTGCTTGCCACACCTTTTGTTTTGGATGACAAAATTGGAAAGCGTTTGTTTTCCTGAACTTTTGCATCACCAAGTCTTCAGTAATGACAGACGATCGCCCACTATGCTCCTTGTCACGGACATTAGTATGGCTATTTTTAAATGCTCTAACTCATTTTCTTACCATTTCATCGCTGATAACATTTTTTTCCATACACCTCACTAATTTTCTGATGAATGTCAGCCACTTCACGTCTTTTGCATTAAGAAAACGAATCAATGCATGTACTTCACAATCAGCAGGATATTCAATTGTCTGAGGCATTTTAAACACACACAAACTAACATAAAACAAATGAATGCTTCCGTAATTGCATCTGTGGCTAGCCAACAGATGTAGTACTCAGTGCACATTTGCGGAACAACAACCACAGCACTACAGCAGCCCTATTTTAAAACGGTATTTACTTAAAAAAACATGCCTTGTATATAAGGTAATAAAGGAAAATCTGATTAAATTAAACAAAAATATTCTTAATAATTATTTATTTTTACTATTAATATTATTATTTCAAAAGACAATGTATTAAGCAATTATACAGTATTATAAAATAAAGATATTTTCATATTTAAGTGTTGACTACTATGCATAATTCTAGATTCCTGTAGGAACAGGTTAAAAAATAAAGACACCATAAAAATATCACAGTAAGAGAAGTTAATGAAGTCAGAAAATCTACAGTTTTTCTTTGAAATAGAGCATAGTGATATAAATTAGAAATAATTAAAATATTCTGAAATCCTTAAAAATATTATCAGAATCAAAATCATATATCATATTTTCAAATAAGATATTAAAAAATGAAAATTATATAAATGACTAATATGAAAATAAATGGAAAAATATATAAAGTACAATAAAATTTAAATCGTTTAAAATAAAAAACAAATTGAAGTTAAATTTGAATGAAAAAAAACTGGTTATGTAATCCCATTGAAAACTAAATATTTTAAGCCAGTAAATTTATTTAAAAATTTAATGTTTTTAACTTTTAACTTTTTAAATCAATCATCATAAGAAATTACAAGATAAAGAAAGAATATATTTACTTAGTTGACAGAGAAAGAAATTCTGTTTTATACATACACCAAGATATTGAAAAGAAATATGTCTGTCATTTAAGAACACTATCAATATTAGAAACATCGGCCTTAAAATTAAGCATTTTACTATATTATATTTAAAGCTATTTGCTAAAAAAATTGAACTGAATGTATATAATTTTTTATATGCCAATTGCTTAATTTTGTATTAAATAATTTTCCTCAAGAAGATAAAACAAAGTTCTCAGATTTGTATGTATGTAACAAATATACAGTTTCATAACAACATGCACTTTCATTTTAATTTATGACAGTTATTATACTATTGAAAACAAAATACAGTAAAATTTTAGAATGTCCATTAAAAATTATTAAAGTTCTATGTTAGAATTTTTAGGAATTGTATATTAGACTAGTTCCTGAAATGAAGTTTTATTACATGAACATTCTTTGTGAATTCTTCAGCTGTTACAAGGAATAATACAAACATGTAGATTATTTTTTCCCTCTATTGTGATCACATTACTCTCTGTAGCAAATAACCTATTGCTAATACTCCTTCAAGCGATAACTTGATGAGATCAATTTTATGCCATGTAATTTCAGGAATGTGAAAAGATGGATGTAAGAATAGAACAAAGAATGTGTTCTAGAAATTTTCAGTACAATTTTTAAAAATATATTATATCATCTATTACTTGTTTTAGAAAAGAAACAACAAATAAAGAAATAAATGGAAACTTCATAATGAATTTAGATGTATAAATTAAACATTTCATCATTGAAGGGAATAGGAATGTTTTGAGACCAACATAAAACATGTATAAATGTATAAATGATGCACCATCACTATCCAGAAAATAGCATGAATTAGAGACTTTTCATAGCTTTCATACTATAATTTCTTGTAATTACAGGAAACAAATATCAAAACAATATAATTTATTAAATTATATATTATATGTGTGTGTGTGTGTGAATAGTAAGAAACTATATTTTATAAATACAGTAGAGCATCAATTATCCGACCCCCAATCAACCGTCACATCAGCTAACCGACCGCGTTCTAGTAGGCAAATTTAAATGTCCACTAGTGATGTAGTGCAACAATATTTGGCTATGTCTTGGCTACTTTAATATTATTTTTACGTGTTTTAGCTGGCAACACTGGCTTGACCATGAAAGGGAGCCAGTATTTAAACGAAGCTTAATTTTCTAATTTTTAACAATACAATAGCGACGATTATTATTTTAAAAAATTTTTGTTAGGCTTAACATCGATGAAAATTCAACGCAAAATAGGTTAATAGCGATATACTAATATACTAATTACATGGGATATAATAATATACTACACTAATAATGGATTTTTTCATACTTTTCGGTTATCCGACTTTTCAATTATCCGACNCCCAGTCCCCAATTGATTCGGAAAATCGACGCTCTACTGTAATTATAATTATTTGCTAAAAAATTTAATTATTATAACATTTCCTTATACATTTAACATAAAATTTTTAAAATATTTTAGAAGAGTCAAATAATTAATGTAAACTTTGTTGTATAATTTTAACTCTTACATTAAAAAAGATGTTTTTTTTTAATTATATAATTAATTTTAAAGTGAAAAATTATAGTAGCTGATGAATACAAAATTTAACTATTTTTAGATAAATTTTGAATTATTAAATTAAAAATATTTTTATTTTTAATTTAATAATCCTTTTATTTAAATAAATCTGTTTATATCATATATTTATTGTAAAAATATTAAAATTTCCAGGTCTTGATGATTCAATTTTGCCATATGTTCACTTTTTTCTGAATAATGATATTGATGGACAGCATCTTTTAATTCTTACTCCCGATGACTTAACAAATCTACATATTACAAAAGTAGGACACCAAGAACTTATCCTTGAAGCAATAAATTTATTGAGGTTATTGGTAAGAATTTTTATTAATTTGATGATCTCATTTTTAAATACAAAGTAGTACAGTTGTGTATTAAGTCCTCATATTTTATACATATAATTAAATATTATGAATCATTATTTGAATATATTTTATAACTTTAATATTAAAATTAATATATTTTTATTTATATGATTATTTATGTAAATTTTATCACATTTATTTTAAAGCATTATAACTTGACATCAGAAAACTTACAATGCTTAGCATTAAAGTTAGCATGTAAAGCAAGAAGTTTATACAATGAATTAAGAAGAAATGGACCAATAGAAGATAATGGAAAACAAGAAAGAGTATCAACATTAATATTATCATCTGTTTCTGATATATTATTAGCAGTAAAATCATTTATATCTTGGTTAGATAGGTAAGTATCATATAACAATTACATATAATTTTTAAATATGACAAATTAAGTCAGTTTTCATAACTTTTTAAATATAAATATCTCACCTTAGCAGCAGTATTTCTAATAGTGAACTTCAATTGTTTAATTAATGTTTTCAGAGTGTTCTGGCTTTTTTTTTTATTCGAATAGTCTAAAATTTGGTAAACTTAAACTGTTTAGATCTCATGTAACCATAATAATCTACACAATATTTCTGAATATTACAAAATTTTATTGTTTCATGTTATATAAATTATTAATATATGAGGGCTGTTTCTTTTTCAACCTTCAATGGTCCATAAAACAAAGAAAAGTGTAAATAACAAAATGAATTTATTACCATAAGTTAGGTACAAATATGGTTACTTTTCGACATAATCACTGTGAAGATCGAGCCATTTGTCTGTCTATAGATGAGCTTTGAAATCCCCTCTTCATAGAATGTTGCTGCCAGTGACTTGAGATGACCTTAACAACTTTTTTTTTTTTTGAAGATTGTCATTAGTCTCAAACCTCTGCCCTCCTAGCTACATTTTCAGTTCAGGAAAGAGATGGAAGTCTTCACATATTAAAAAGTTTTAAGCTGGGTGGAGGTCTTCATCACCTTTAAACACCAAGTGTATAGCCCTGATTTAGTGCCGAGAGACTTTCACCTCTTTTTTGAACAGAAAAAGTGTCTAGGAGGGCAGAGGTTCAAGACTAACGACAATCTTCAAAACAATGTTAAGGTCCATCTCAAGTCACTGGCTGCAACATTCTATGAAGAGGGGATTTCAAAGGTCATCCATGGATAGACAAATGCCTTGATCTTCATGGTGATTATGTTGAAATGTAGCCGTGTTTGTACCTAACTTTTGGTAATGAATTTATTTTGTTATTTACACTAGTCTTTGTTTTATGGACCATCAGAGGTTGAAAAAGAAACAGCCTACATATATTTGTAATATGACCACAGATTTATAATTAACTTTATAATATTCAGAAATACTTTATAAATTGTTACCTTGGTTATGTAAAGTGTAAATAAATGAAAACATCATTAAACATGCAAATTTTACATTGTTCAAATCTCTGTTCTATTAAGCCTTATTTGGGCAGGGAGATTAGAAACTCTGAAAGTGTTAGTTAAATAATAAAGTTGGCTTTTTTAAATATTGCTGATTTTAAGATGAGATTGATATGACCATTTATGAAGACAATAATTTACTTTTATCAAAGTATTATAAAGTTGATTTATAAAATTTTGACACTAACAAATCTATTGATCAAAATATTAATTTAAAAAGCAATAAATTGTCAAATTTCAAAAAGTATGTAATAGATATTTTTCTATATTTGACTTTCTGCTATGTGGGCACTATATATGTATTTTAATTCTTATTTTCCATCTTCTTTTCAGTCTAAATTTCTAAATTCGGTTAGTTTCAGTTAGTCCTAGTAGTAAGTTAGATTAGGGACTCTTTGCTTGATTCTGGTTAGGTTTGTCCTAGGTTATGGTAGGTTAATTTAGTTAGTGATTAAGTTAATGTTTAAAAAACTAAAAAATAAAAAAAATTTGGGGTCTTGCGTGTTTGTCTTTTGTCCATCTGTTCGTCTTGTCTAGTTTGTTGTTGTGCTTGTTTGTTTGTTTTTTTTGTGCTGTCTGTCTAGCTGTTAAGTAGTAGTAAGATTTACACTCACGTTCAGTTTCATTAGCATTAAGTAGTTATAAGTCTTCCTACTAACAGCTGCTTGGCACTAACTTTTACACTTAGCTATTCGTGGCAGCACTGAATTATTGGTGTTTGCTACACTCAAGTTTTCTTTTAGACCCTTTTGGGAACTATGGCCTTGCAGCCTAAAAACTGCATGCCAACATCAAACATAGAGGATACTGTTGCCATATGTACGCTGTTCAGAGGGATCCTACCTTTTTCTATTATCTATCACCTCTCCCTCCTCCTTTCCCTCTGCTTTCCCTTACCCTCTTTTTTTGCTGGCTAAACACCTCATGTATGGTCAAAGTCTTTCTTGTATGTATGTATGTGGGCACTAAGGAAGCATTTTTAATCATATCTGCCAATTATGGGTTCTGCCAGGTTCACAATTTGGACATCTGGATGATAAGAATATGGTCTGGACATATTCAGAACAGACCACCTCCAAAATATTCTTGGATTTGATCTTGGATCCCCAGTGCTTTAGGCTGATGCTGTAATTATGTCAACCATCAGACTGTCATATATAGATTATTATACTGATGAAAAATAAAATACACATTTATTTTCAATTGCAAAGACTTGTCTTAAGAGTAATTTAAATGCAGAAGTCATTACAGACAAAATAATAAGTAAAATGCACATGCAAAGATAAAACTGTGTGTTAGTATAATAATTAATAAAAAAACAAATGATGGGATAATAGGAATAAAAAAAACCAATTAAATATGTCTTTAATTAATAAACACTGCTGTACATTAACCTTATGATAATAAGAAAAATAACTTTCATCAACTTCCTGTCAAGGTCATAGACTAGATTATTTTTAGAACTGTTAAGCCTTTTTTTCTTCCTAACCATGTCTGTAGAATATATAGTGAATCACTGTTTTTAACTTTATCTTTTATGATATGCTATCTACATATTTACAGGCTTTCTGCTGCCTGGAAGTTGTCCATCCTGAATAATTCTCTAGGAGTTTCAGCTATTAATTTTCAATGGCAATAATCCCATGAATATATAGATAGAGAAAATTACAATTGATGTAATTAACAGAAAATATAGCAATTATTTGATAGAATATTGAACAGTCTTGTCTTCTGATTGTTGAATTTCAAATTTTTTAATTATATAAAGTTTTAAATAATTTATAAAATTGATTTATTAATTTTTTTATGTTTTAATTTTGATTTAATTTTTTTAATTTTAAAGGTATCCATTTGAAGGAAAAGAACAATATAATCCAATTAGAAAAACAATATTAAAACTTAGTATTGAATTAGCTTCAACTGCTCAAAGAGATCAATTTGTTGAGAAGCCACATACTTTAATAAAGAATAGTGTAAGTGAATGGGTTTTTTTAGGTATATTAAAAATGATAAGACTGATTCTACAATATATTTTTATTCTGCAATTTTGTTTGTTTTATTAAAATTAAATAAATTAATATATGAAATAAAATAATTTAACAATATAACATTATTATTTTATATAGTGTCTTAACTTGGCTAATCTATGTGATAAAGTAGTACAAGAATTCAGTGATTCTTTAATTATTCAGCCTGCATCATTAGATGTTGCAACTGTTAAGAAAAAACCAGAAGAAGAATTGGTATGTTACTCTGATTTAATCTATATATATAAATTATTGTTAAAAATCAAAATTTTTCAACAAGCAAATTTGAAAAATAAATTTTAAAATTTTAGTATAAAAAAATATATAAATGAAAAATATTTTAATCACATAATCATTTTTCTTTAAATTTTAATTTTTTAAATGATTTGAAATTATCAAATTTTTATAGAAATTAAATATAGAAATATTTTATAAAAATGTTTTCTATATTTGTATCATTATAATTATATTAATTATAAAAGTGTTTGAATTGTACAACTTAAATTAGGCTGTCAGATTGTTTCTGAAATAACAGACGTGTAAGTCAATATTAATTCACTTCCTTTTTTTTTATAATTGAGTAGTTATTTGACATCTGTTAAACTCTGTTTTCTCATGGAGTAAAATGATATGTTATTTGTATCTTGTACTTTGTTGGAATAATTGATTCTTACAAATAGTTTAACATTATTTAATTTTAAATAATAAACTAAATATAAAAATTTCAATTACATTAATTAAATTGATATTTCCAATTGATATTGCAATTCAAACCATAAATAATGCTTGATTGTAAAATAATTTTTAAGCTTTTTTGTAATGGCAACTTTTAATAAAATTATAACACTTATAAAATAAGAGATTGTTATTAAATTGTTTTCAATTTTTTGTAATAAACAAATTTTAAAAAATTATATCCAATATTTTTTTCTGGAGAAAATATATTATATTTTCTAGTTTTTTAATAAAATAGATAAGATTTGATTATTAATATTTATATCATTTATATTATTATTTTTTGTTTGGTTCATTAATGCAAAAATCTATTTTTACATTTTTACATAGCTATACAGTAGAGCGTTGTTTATCCGAATCAGTTGGTAACTAGGGTTGTTCGGATAACTTATTTTTCAGATAACCGATTATGTATGAAAAAATATATTAACCTAGCCCATGTTGAAATTTTTCTCCGTTGCGTGTTGCTTCACGTTGAATTTTCGTTGATGTTAAGCCTAACGTAAACTTTTTAAAATAATAATCGTGGCTATTGTATTGTTAAAAAGTATTTCTTTATTTTGTACAAACAAAATAAATATGTTGAAAAATATAAAAACAAAAAAAAAATATACTTTAGAAGTTGATCTAATATCAAAAATGTTCGATTCAGCACCACACACAGTCCTCAGAAAAACACCACACAAAAGTGACAGTGTTGCCAGCTAAAACACACATACCAACAAAAAAAATATTGGAGTAGCCCAAGATATAGCCAAAGATTGCAGCGTCACAGCACTAGCGAAAATTTAAATTTGCTGACTGGAATTCTTTCGGAAAACCGAAATTCGGATAAACGACGCTCTACTGTATTTCATATATAAAATAATTTGGTTATGTGAATAGTTTTGTTAATGTTTCTGGTTTGTTCCAATGGAGTTTTTTCAGGCAAGTGAGGAAGGATAATAAGTATGTAGATGCTATATACTTATAAATATGCAAAATGACTATTTATATCAAACTGTGGAAACTTTAAGATAGTTTTGTAGTTGTACACTTTGAAAAATTAATTTTGGTTTATTAGAAAATAAGTTGTTATTAATGTTGAATTATGTGTTAATGATTCTGTAAGATTTGAATGTCTTAATTACTAAAGTAAATTTTTGCATTTTAGGGAATACATTTACACTCTTCTTATTCTGGTGTTCATATAGTTGGTGGTGTTAAATTTCAGGTAATATATATTTCATGAATTTTTTTTAATGTATATATATTTAAATCTATAAATAGTATAGAATCTGCATTTGTATTATATCTCAGCAAAAATGTTAAAACATTGATGTCTGCTTTCCTCATCTAACAAAACTCAGATTCTATTCTATTTGGGACTAATGAGTTTATTATTTTTTCTATTCTCTAAAAGTTAAAAATTTATAAAAATACATGTAAAAGAATATCTCTCAAAATTAGTCCAAGAATGAGCATTATTTTCTTTTTCAAACATTATTTTTTTTATTTTTATTTTTTTCTAAAGTTTAAAAATTAATAGTGTAAGCTTTTTTTTCTTTGTGACTGATTTAAATTTTATAAATGAATATTAATAATTTAATTCAAGTAAATGAATTTATGCAACAATACCAAGAGCCTGCCATTATTTATATCATTATTAGTTTTATATTATGGAATTCTGATCAAAATAAGTTTAAGTCTACTATAAAAACACTATTATCAAGTCATTTAACTAATGTTTCATCAAATTTACTCTTCAAATTGTCATTGTTCTGGTCACTCCTAGTCTGTTTGATGATTTCTCAATTTATTTATTTTTTCTTTGATTATAACTTAGGTGTAATGTTTATATAATGTATTATTTTGAGTAAGGTTTTGTTACAATTTAATTTTTCAAAGAGTTATTTAGAAAGCAGTATGATAGTTAGATAATAATTCTTTGAAATGAACTATATCATTAAAATCTATTGTAAATGTTGAATAAAGAAAATAGTTTTTCATAAAATACTTAATATATTATCATATTTAATGATGCAGGTGTTTATTATTTTAGGTATAGTTCTTGAATATGAAATTTTATGCTAAATTTACTTGATTATAAATAGTTCATCTTCATATAGTTATGAGAGTATTAATTAAACAAATAATTTTTTTTTAATGTTACTATAAAACATTTTGATCTTTGTTTAGTAGTGGTACAAATATTTATTCTTAAATTTTTAAATTATTTTCAGAGTCCAGCTGATCGTTGTGGCAAAGTAGATATTGGGGATGAAATTGTCCAGGTTAATTATCAAACTGTAGTAAGTAAATATTATAAATACATTATAGATAATTGATTGAATAAACATGATATAAAAATTTTATATACAAAATTGGTTTTTAAGAAGCTTATTTGCTTGGTTTATTAATTTTGCATAAGTATTTTAGGTATTACATTTTGAATTTATTGCAATATCATGATTTGTAAACTGTTCATAATTATATTAGAGATTTTGTGTAGAAATCTACAGAAGCAGAGTTAACATAGTTTTATATATAATCTTCACTGACTCATTAACATAAACTGTATGAGTGAAAGTAGACTTATATCAATAATGTAAATGGTCTAGCACAGTGTTTCTCAACCTGCAATCCACAATAATGGCACAAGTGATTCACAGGCAGACTTAAACTATTAATGATTAAAACTCTGTTCAATGATGATTCACTTTTAATAGTTTTCTCCCAATTTAATTAATTATGTTTCCATGAATATTCAAAACTTGCTTTTATATTTATTATGTTATAAATGGCACAGTTCATTTCAAATGTTGGTAATACCCATACAGATTTACAAAAAACATTAGGTTTACATAACTTATTGATCCATAGAATTTTTTTTAGACATTTTACTGGTAATTGGGTTTAAAAAGGTTGAGAAATGTTGGTCTAGAGGAAAGAGGATTTCCACTATGCTTTCAGGAATGTCAAGTACGAGGTGTATCCGGAAAGTAAGTACCGTTTTGTTCTACCGCCATTGCAGTGGTAGTATCGCAGTTCAGCACCTGTGCACACTTCTCTCTGGTTGATTGTCAGTCCAGTGACGCCATTATAGCCGGATTGTGTTGCTTTTCCACGTGTTATTGAGCGTTCAAAATGTTTAAGACTATTGCCGATCCCGCCGATTGTGAAGTGCATTCTGTAATACGGTTTTTGAACACAAAGAATGTTAAGCCAGTTGAAATTCATTGTCAACTTGTAGAGATTTATGGTGAAAATGTAATGAGTGATGGAATGGTTAGAAAATGGGTTCGACAATTCAATGCTGAACGCACTGATGTTCATGACGAAGCATGGAGTGGCTGGCCTTCTGTTGTCAATGATGGTTTGGTTGCAAAAGTGAATGAAAAGGTTNAATACAGCACCTGCCTTCGACTTTAGGAACTAGAAGGGCCCAATGTAACGACTATTAAAATAAAATTTTACTTAAAAAAATATTTTTCTTTATACTGTATTCAAATTGTTATTGGGGGAGAAACTAAATTTCAAAGGAAAATTACCCTCCTTGCAACAAACTAATCGATATTTCAATGGTTTCAGGCAATATTTTATTACACAGATAAAAGAAAATGTTAATATTAATTTTTGTTAAGTAATTTTGACGGGGTGTGTCAGAGCCGTTAAGCGTGCGAGTGAACTTTTTTAAGAGGTTGGTGGAACAAGTTTGGAATGGAAATAACAAAAAATTACGCAATGTGGTATGTACAGATTAGAGTTGTTGACATTAAATTAACCTTGGGATTGATTAAACTACTATTANCCGTTAAGCGTGCGAGTGAACTTTTTTAAGAGGTTGGTGGAACAAGTTTGGAATGGAAATAACAAAAAATTACGCAATGTGGTATGTACAGATTAGAGTTGTTGACATTAAATTAACCTTGGGATTGATTAAACTACTATTAATAATTGCCGGAATTGAAATAAATCCTGGTCCTCTTTCCCGTTTGCCACTTCGGTCAAGCCAGTTGGATATGCAAAAAAGGGGGCGTGGTAGACCTCGGAAAGAAAGTCACAAGGAAGAAGAAAGGGAAACGCAGTTACTGGAAATTTTAAGTGAGGACTACCAAATTGAAGAAAAGGTCGAAAGAAATAATGAGACCCCGAGAAATTCGAAAATTCAGGATTATTTTAGACCGGCAAGAGAAATCGAAAAACAAGGTATTGATGATTCACAATATACATTAAGATCTATATACGAATTAATTCAGGAAAAATTTTGCCAGTTAAACTTAGAAATTCAATCAATAAAAGCTGAAGTTAATAAGATAAAAGAAGAAAATAATAGTTATAAAGAAGAGATGAAGATAATTGGTTACAAGATACAAAAATTAGAAGAAAATTATAAAAATAACGAAAAGATAAAAGGTATGTTGGAATTCGAATTTGATAAATTGGTAAATGAGACTACAAATAAGAATATAATAATTTTTAATTTTCCGGTTAAAACATGGAACGTTGTTCAAGAAATCAAACAATTTATTAACGAAGAATTAGGTCTAAAAAATATAGAAATTGAAGGACTAATCCAACTTAAAAATAGTAAGAATAACCTAATAATAAAAGTAATTCTGGAATCTGTTAAGGATAGAAATTTAGTTCTCAAGAGATTTTGGTCTTTGAAACAAAAAATTGTTAATAAGACCGAGAAAAAAATAATAATTACAACGGATTTGTGTATTAGATCAAGAATCAGAAGAAAAAAACTACAGAATCAAATTAAAGTAGAAAAAACTAGTAAAAATAAAATATTAATAAGAGATGACTACTATATTAAGGATAATATAATATATACAATTGATATGAATACAAACAAGATTATTCAAATGGATGGTTCTTTTAGATATAGACAGACAACTAAAAAGAACATGATTGACAAGAGAATCAAACCGAATTAAGTTTAGATCCCTCAAATAGGAAAACAGTAATTGAAAATAATTGTAATATAAGCTTTGTAAAACTGGAAGATAGTGAAGTTAAAGGTTTTGAAGAATATAAGATCTTTGTGGAAAAATTATAAAGTTTTACTAAAGGAATTCATAGATCCTAACATTATAATTGGTTTTACTGAAACCTGGATGATAATTCGAAGTGACAGTTAAAGATAATAGTTAATAATCACTTGGTTTTAGTATTTAGCAAAGGAAAAAAAGAAGAAACATGATTAAGTTAAGCTACTAAGTAAAAGAAGCTATCATAAATATAAATTTAATGTAGTAAATAAGATCTTTGTAATGCAAAAACAGAGATATTATGTGGAATATTGCATAAATTTGAAATGTTTTAAAACAGGTGTAAAAAGGAACATACTAAATATGATGTATAAATTAAAGTATAAATATATGTAGAAGTAAATTTGTGTAGATAATTAAGAAATTGTAAAATCCAACCACCCTGATTGTAATAGACGGATGGCAAAAGTTCATTGAAAAAATTAATTTATGTAAAGTTGATAAATTGTATAAACATCCCCCGTGTAACAGGCTACAGCCTATTACGTTAATAAACATTAATTCAATTCAATTCAATNATTATATTATTATATAATAAATACTAAAATGTTTTTATAATTTTTTCATTGAATATAATGATTAATTACTTGTAAAAGAAATATAAATTTATTTTAAAAGAATTAAGATAACAAAAGTAGTTTTTATGGCAATTAAGTGATAAATGAATAAATTAATTTAGCCATATAAATTCTTTATGATTTTTCTATATAATTGATAAGTATATGATTTGATTTTCATTCATCTTAAAATAATTGATCTTATGAGTTAATGAACAGAAATTTCCAATGATTTAACCAGTGTTTTATCAGTATTACAGTATTTTATCACTATTGTTTTTTACATCAATATTCAAGATGCTTTGGTTTTCAACAGGTTGGTTGGCAACTGAAGAAATTAGTTTATGCAATGAGAGAACATCCAACAGAAGTTTATTTGACACTTAAAAAAAGGCCAAGACATACAAATATTTTAGGCCAGGTATTTTTGTATTTTGTATTATTTTAAAATTTAAATTAATGTAATTTTAAAATATTAAAAAATTATGCAACCAGTATGTTTTTCCCCTTTTTAAAATGGTAATTGCTTATATAGAAATATTCCAATCCTACATATATATATTTTTTTTCTAGTTGGTGAAAATCATACAGGAATTTATTTAATAAGTACTTTTGGACTATAATCTAACACTGTTATTTAAGTATGGGTTAATATTATGAAATTAGTCAACCATAAAATCAACATCATTTTAGATAGACGTATATAAGTAATTTTGTTCGTTTTCAATTAGGAAATTATTCTTGATACAGAAAAAATACAATTTTTAACTACTTATAGTCTGTTCCACTATGCTTTATCAATGTTCTTTTACAATGTATACAATACATTGTAAAAGAACATTGTCAAAAACCGTCATAAAAAACATTATTCAGGAATACATTTAAATTACATCTACAGTATCTTACAAAGATGATTGTTGCTGCAGATTTCAGTCTAACATTAACCTTTTAAAATGTTTTATTTTTATAAATTATCTTTTTTTAATTAAATATTTAACTATGTTATGTTTTACTATCTATAATTTCATACATGCTATAAAATTTATTATATTATTTAGATAAAAATAGAAAATTTATCTAAAAAGTTCAGAATAGAAGATACTTTTAATTGATGTAAAAGTTCTTTGATGATACTATCGATGATATAAATTAAAATAAGAGAGATTTAATTGATTCTAAAAATTAATAGTACTACCATAACACAGTTTTCTTTTCATAATTTATCATCATTAAAATATGTAAAACTTTTAAATTATAAATTTCAAGTTTTTTTGTATTTTTTCATCAAATTTTAAATCTACATGACAGATGTTCAGAATAGCATACAAAATCAGAATATTCAGTTTATTGTGTTTACTCTAAATATATGTTAATAATACAGAAATTTTATTTTCTGCTAAATATTTTAAATTAGTATATTAAAATGTATATTAAACATTAATTCCTAATAAATTATATTATTTCAACTATAGCAAAAGTTAATTATATTGTAAACTTTTTAATAAAATTTCAGGTTATAGTTTTAAGGCCATATCGAATTCCATCTAAAAAATCTGCATTTGGAAAAGTGCACAAATGGTCAGAAGGAAATTCATCTCTACATATACAAGAATATTCATCCAACTTAGAAGAACCAAATACACAGTAAATAGTTTGATATTATTTTTCGTATTTATTATTTTTATTTTTATATTATATATATATACATAGGCTGTTTTTTTGAAGCGTCAATGGTTCATAAAACAAAGACAAGTGTAAATAACAAAATTAATTTATCATCAAAAGTTAGGTATGAACATGGTTACTTTTTGACATAATCACTGTAAAGATTGAGACATTTGTCATGTCTGTGGATAAGCTTTTCCATTCCCTTGTCATAGAATGTTGCCTTAAATGACTTGAGATGGGCCCTAATATTGTTTTGAACATTTATTATGTCATTAGCCTCGAACCTCTGCCCTCATAGCCACTTTTTCTGTTCAGGGAAGAGGTGGAAGTTGCTTGGCGCTAAATCGGGGCTATACACTGGGTGTTTAAAGGTGGTGAAGACTTCCACCTCTTTCCTAAACTGAAAATGGGCAGAGGTTTGAGACTAATGACAATCTTCAAAACAATGTTGTTAAGGACATCTCAATTCACTGGCAGCAACATTCTATGACAAGGGGATGGAAAAGCTCATGGAATATATTACATTTACTATGGAACAATATTGTTCTCTCAAATGATTTGTGATCATTAAAGACATGTATAATTTATTTTTTGAAAGCAAATTACTTTTACCAGTTTTAAATAATGATTAAGATTTTCTGATAGTTTAACACTATTTTTTTTCTTTGTAAATTTCCATTTACAGTTTTTTTTAATTAAATCTGTTAAATTTGTTGTTTTTTTTTTTTTTTTTTTTTTTNTTTTTTTTTTTTTTTTTTTTTTATCTTTCCAACATAATTTATATATTTTTTTGATGTTCTTTGTCCTCCTTTCTAAATCATTATGATTTTTCTAATAATTTTTCTTTTTAGTTAATACAATAGATTATAAACCAAATGATTGCCATAATTAATCGAGTTATTTTTTGCTACTATTAATAATTAGATAAAAAATTATTTAATATCTAATTATTAATAGTAGCAAAAAATAGCCTGATTAATTATCATTTGGTTTGTTAATGCATTGGGCTTAGTGATGTTTATATATATAATACAATAGATTGTTTATTAATAAATATTTTTAATGATATCCAGAACATCTTATTATAGATTCATTGAAAGAATGTCTGATTACTTAATTATATGAAATGCACAATTTACCAACATTATAAATAATGATATGAAAGAATAAGATTACTTAACTGCTTTTGCTTCATATATTTGAGTGTCATCAGACTTTTAAAAAGAAAATACTGTATATTCCTACTTGTATATCTATAATATTGATAGATATGTAGTAAATTGAATCCTATTTATTGTTTGTTAAAATATATTGTTAAAATATTGTTTGTTATTTATTTTAATAATTTGTAATCACTTTTCATTTAATATATTTAGAATTTATTCTTTTTGTAAATGCAATACTGAAGGCATTTATGTCTTTCAACTTTTGTGTTAATTATAAGCAATACAAATGTTCATTTTTACAAAAATGTCTTATTTATTAGAAATAATTAAATTGTTATACAAAATAGCAATTGTTAATCATTTATTGCTTTCTTCAATCTATAGGAGATAGAAGTAAATTAGATATCTGTATTATTTAATTTTTCCAGGGATGTGCCAGATGATGATGATGATTCAGCCTTTCTTCCTGATTATGTGACACCTAATGATGAAACATCTATTAGTGCTGTTCGTTATCATATTTTTCCAGGAAGATCTCGAGCAACAGTTCAAAGACGAGCAACTGTGAGTGGGGCTTCACCTACTGTAAAACGTCCTCCTGTAAGCATTGAAGAGCTAGTATTACCTGTTGGTTCAAAATCCTGTAAGAAGGAAGTTATTGGAAGAAGTATCTCTCATGATCCTTCTAAGCATAAAATTTCTGAAAGTAGTTTAAAATCTCAGAAATTGGAAGTGATTAAATCTGATGGGTCAGAAGATTATTGTGATAAAGTATCAAATGGAGAAAATGTGCACAATGAAAAGGATTTTGATAAAAATGAAAATGAAAATTTAATTAGTAAAAGTAGTTCTGTGACATCAGTGTCTTCAACATTAAGTGATGGATTAAAAGTATCTAATATCATAATTCCATTACATGAAGAAGAATATACTATATTAGAAAATAAAAGCTTAAGAAAGTTAGGAACTGTTGATAAAATTTCAGTTAAAGAAGATAATCCTGAAAAGAAATCACAGAAAACTGAAAGTTAGTATGAATTTTATAAATTTATTTTATATTTTATATAAAAATTACGTAATTTTTTAAATAAATTTATAAAAAAATTAATACTTCTACAGTCGACCCCTATAACACTGTTGATTTTTCCATTTTATATGAATTCCATGTTGTACAAGTCACTTAGATTTTACAAATACATGTGCCGGGCTGTGAATGGCTCACGTATTTGTAAAATCTAAGTGACTCATACAACATGGAAGTCATATAAAACGGAAAAATCAACACTGTTATAGGGGGTCGACTGTATACAAAAAATGAAAAATAGGAATTTAATGAATTATTAATACACATAAAGTACCTATGAATTTGCAAACAAATTATTCCACACTTTTCTTTAGGAGTACAGAAAAATTCTAATAATTTGAAAATGGTCAATGGTTAAACTTCAAGTCTTAGTGTTCTTAATCAGTGTCATGTTTCAAATTATCTGAATTTTGAGGATTTGTTCAAATTTAAAATTTTTTTTCCTCCTATGTCTGAAGATGAGCTGTTTAGTTCAAAAGTACTAAAGCATTTTTGAATTTTTCTGTAGTTCTGAAAATACAGTGTTAGTTTATTTGTAATTGAATTATTAATTATTATAATTTTTTTACATAAGTGAGTCTTAAGTAAATTTTCATATTAAATGATAGATCTAAACAATTGCAACTTTCTGCTTATGGCAAACTGTAGATTTTATGTTTTAAGATCATGGATTTATTGAATTTATTCTTTCATGTTTTGATATTTGGATATTTTCTCTGATCCTGTTTTTTTTTTCCTCTCAGTTTCTGAGAGTGAAATTGCAATGTCAATTATTCTATTAAATCAAATGATGTTAGGTCAATTATTGTATACAATTCTATCTGTTAAAATAGGTTTGTCTTAATAAAGTATACACTAATACCCCGAACTTACGCGATAGGTGGGACCGAGCGATAACCGCGTAAGTCGGGGTATAATTTCGCAATTTATGTAAAATCCAAGTCGGATATATATAAGCTAATAAATGTTCTCGTTAATCTTATCTCGTCTTTTGATTCGTTCACGGTTACAAGAAATCACCACATAGTCTCTCGAGTCTCCGTAGATATAACAAACAGAAATAAATAACGCAAAAGAAATTTGTAGCTATCTGTCGTTCCGCGCGACATGTCCGAACATGTAAGCTGAACAATAGTGTGGGGGGAATAAGTAATCAAGAGTTGCGTGGCGCTCAAACAAAAGACGAATTGACAAGATTTGAAAATCGCGTAAGTCGAGGTATTACTGTATATTAATCATTTTCTAACATTGGCATGGAATTTATAATAAGGAGTCAACAAGATAGGAAACCTAAATTTCCAAAGAATTTTGACCATGGAATTGTTCTTTAAGATTTTCCATTCTACTTAAAATGAAACAATTAACAATAACATGAACAATTGATTTTGATGTTAATGAGCATCTTTTACAAAGAGCAACATTAGTAATTTCAATTATTTAGGGTTCGTAATTTTTTATGTTAATACAGCTGTCCCTTGATAGTCCAACGTTTTGTAATCCGACATGCTCAGTAGTCCAACACACCTCCCGTCAAGGTACCCGTCCCCATTATGCGTCTGCTTGCACAGAAGCATGTTGCAACGTGAGTCTCCCCACCCAATTCTTACATGATGATATGCATTTTGTGTGTTTTCCATGAGCAGTTCTGTTTGAATAGTTGGAGTAGGGAATATTGTAGGCTACCGCTAGCAAAAGAATGCCAAATATGTAATCACTTTCGGTAATCCGACACCCTTTTGGTCTCATACCTGTCGGATTATCAAGGGACAGCTGTAATCTGATACTGAATATTGATCATAAACCCTTTGTCTCAAGAAATATATTTCCAGATTTCAGCAGGGCAATAATAGTAAAAAAATACTTGTTAGTAATAGAATATTTTTCATGGAATGTTTTTTCAAACCAAGCATCTATTTTTTCTGAAATGTTAACTCATATCATGATCACTCTCTGAAGAAAGATTATATGTTTGAAGATGTTCAGTATATTGCTGCTTATTGTGAATACATTTTTATTAGATTATCTCATTTTAAAAATAATCTTATTCTTAAATATTATTCCTAATTTGCTTATTAAACAGTTCTTGTATATTAATGTGATTTCTTCTTCCTACAGGCCTTGTTAGACAGTTGTTCAGTGGCTGATCATTGATGATGAGAATGGAACTTTATATAGTCTGACGATGGTTTACAAATCAGTCTGTGATCAGTTTTAAATACCAAAAGTATAAATTGAAATATATGTAGCTCATGAATTTATTATAGATTTTATTTTGAAGTTCTGTATTCATTATTTTTGTTACTTTTTGCTTGTATTTATTCTTACGGAAATATTTATGTACTGCAATTTTCATGAGAACTAATCTGATTTTTTAAACCTTTGCCTTTCTTTTTTGGTTAGCATGTGGAAATGATTTAGATCTAAACAAGTTGGATATAGAATAAATTGTATTTTAAATTATTATTTGGATTTATTTCTGATAAATAATATTTTTAAAACTTCTTTTGTTTTTGAAATTCATAGTTTGATATTAAGTTAACTAAACAACTGATTTGGAATTTATTATTGTTTTTTAAATTTAAGAATTGGAGTTATCTAATGAATTGCAAAGTACAGAAGGAAAAAAGAATCTTTTAACTGGCCCATGGGAAGGTCATGATACTGTCTTTCATGGAAGAAGACCAAGTATTCAAGAAGTTGAAAATGAAATAGCTTCTTCTTCAACAGTGGATCAGCCAATTCTTACAAAGGTTGCCCCACTACTAAGTCCACTATTACTAAATGAGGTGCATGGCTACTTGCTTAATCAAAATAACATTATTAATTTTGAATAATAATTAAATATGCTTATACATTGTGATTCAAAATTGGTAGATAAAACTTTATAGCATGATCAATTATTCAATTTATAGTAAAAAGTGTTAAAATATTTTTTCTAGTTCTCCCAAGTTACAGAGAAAAATCTTTATTTGAAACTAGTTTACTATTTCAGTAGTAAGTAGTAAACTATCACAGTTCATTGTTTATTAGTTTAGAAATAGGTTGCATTTAGTTAATGAACACTTGAAAGAAATTAAATTTACAATATATTGCTCAAAGTGATTGCCTTCACAATCTATACAAGCTTCAAATGATGATATCCATATGTAAAGCTGATTTAGAATAAAGATCTTTCTCTGAAACTCAATATACTTCTGTCAGATTCTCAAAGATAACTAATGTTTTTACTTTATGGGGTGATCATTTGGAATTAATTATTATTGTTTTTTAATTTCAGTTTAAAGTGTTTATCCACTACTTTTGAATCACCCTGTATAATAATAATGCTTTTGCTTGGCTTTACTAACACTTTTATAAAGATTTTGATACATAATTTGAATTTTAATAAACATATTAGATATAATTTCATCTAATCAGAAAAGTAATTTACTATAAATATAGTTTATTTATTTTATAACATAGTAATTGAAGTCTAATAAAAACACATCAACACTCCTCAAGAAGTCACTTTTTTATGTTAATTATTTTTAAAGACAGGTTTTTCATCGTTGCATATTTTTAACTAATCTAAAGCATACAAAGATAAATCAGTGTCAATATTAAAATATTTAGTGTAGAAGTGGAAAGAAATTTTTTATATATGAAGGTTTGAGAATTATTGAATAATAAAAATTCAAATAATGTTGACATTAGAATATTTGAGTATATTATATACAATTTGACATTGCTAAATAATATTTAGTAGTTATGATCAATTTCACATACATTTAATAGTTTTAATAAAATTAATTAAGTTGAATTTTCTTAATTATATAATATTTATTAAGGCAAATGATAATGTTAGATTTACATAAACAAACATCACAAAACCTAATAAATTTGTAAAGCCAAACAACCACTGGATTACATTGGGTTACTGAATGGCTGGCTGAGTGCCATGAGTAGGAGTTTATAGGATGAGGGCACTGAAGGCAACCCCAGTCAGCACCATATTTAACCGAGGATGGTTATATCATATTTAAATATGTCTGGAGGCTCAGGTAGCAGAACTGGCAACATATCCACATGGTAAGCAGGAGTTGCAGGTTTGAATCTTGCTCTGGGCCAATTCTTTTCTTCCAGAATATTCTAATTTATTTAATAAATATTAATTTAATTATAATTATTAAATTTAATAAGAGATGGTGCCTAATGCCTTCCTCTAGTGACAAAATTTATTAATAATTAAAAAATATAACACAGGAAAGTAGCCAGGTGTAATCTGGTGGTTGTTTGACTTTAATGTTAGATTTATTAATAGTGTTACAAAATAAACATACTTTCTGCTAGGATCAAATTCCAAAACTGATTCTAAATGTCTTTCTTCTCTTTTAATATTTAAGATATTACATATTTTAATTAATTGGTTTAATTAATGGTTTGGATCATTAGAAAAAATTGTATATTTATATGCATAATATTAAAACATTAAAATTATTACTAATTCCATAAAAATATTTTATAATTAAAATTTAAACATCATGATGTTTTTACTTGTATACATATAGGAATCTAAAACATAAATAACATTTTAAAACATTTTTGTATAAATAACATTTGGATTTTTCATTTTATGTTGTCCTTTTCCTTTTTTATTAAAATATTGCACATTAATGCAACCTGTATGTAACTGTATATACAAGTAAATTAATTTTAGCTCTATCTGAATTATATACAGTAGAACCTCGATTATCCGGACTAATTGGGGATGAAGGTAGTCCGGATAAGGAAAAATCTGGATAATCGAAACAAATACTTTAATTTGTCTTTTAATGATAATACAACACGTTTTCTTTTCGATGACATATCGGTAATATTAAAAGTAAATGCTGTATTTAAACCGTGATCAAATTTTCAAGAAACAAACGTTCGTATTGAATTTGGACTACTACTGACCAGCGCTAACAGACTAGCTATTGTTTAAAAGGCCCTCTGGTGGCGCAAGAAGACGGATTTTATAAAATAAAAAGCAGTTGAAACTGCATTTTTATGAATAAAAATTTGACAAACTATTTATCGTTTTATGACGAGTAAAATTTTTTCGTCGCGTTCGCGGCTTTTAAGTAATGCATAAACCTTCGAGGCGCGAGGCCCTTCGGACCGCGAGGCATAGGCGGTGGCCCACGTCGTCCATGCCTTACGCCGCCCTTGGTCATAGAAATGATGTAATTTGAATATAAATTATTTATAAATACGTATGTCAAGTTATATTTTTATTACTACGTAAAATATATTAAGAGTTTATGACCACTGTGCTGGGTGAGACGTTGTTGAAACAAAAAAAAGTTATGCATTCCATCACGTACATAAACAGTGTCGTAATTTGCCAAGTGCAAATCAGCAAATTCGTAAAATTTTTGTTTATTTTGAACAATCCGGATAATGGAGGTTCTACTGTATTTTAATATTGGCACCATTTAAATTTATTTATATTTTATATAAATTTTCCAAAATTGAAGGAAATTACCTTAAAAATGTTTAAACATTAAAAAGTAGGAGTTTTTAAATTGAGTATGTTTTTAACTTCAGTACTAAGGAGTTGATAAAATTAACACTATGTAAATAAGTTTATAATCTGTGTCAAATAAGTTGGCAACTAATGTAAATCAATTATTGATAAAATAATTTTAATATTAATTGATTGGTTCTCCATAACTGGCATACATTACATTAAACAAACTTAAATTTTTAACTTTGATTAGACTTCAAAAATAATTTTGATATTTTTTTAAAAATATTTAAAAGTAAGATCCGTAAATTTTGAGAAAAATTCAAACAGACTCTAAAATAAAATGGGAAAGTGCTAAATATTTACATAGAAGACAATTATGACTGGTCCTTTTACTTTCCCTGCTGTTATAACAGAGAAAGTATGTAATCAGTCAAAAATAATTTCCAAGATTTTTACATTTTTTGACTCAGGACATCTTGAAATGTTAACCACTCAACAGTGAAAGACGGATATATCCTTCCAGGGTGATCATGTGGCAGTGGTGAGGGACAGATATATCCGTTAAATTCTTTTGAGGGTATCGCCAAAAACTACTGTGAAAAAAAATTCACATAAAAAATGAATTACGTAACAATAAAAAAAGACTTTTCTTTACTAGACATAACTGTTTACAAAATCTTTTTCTGAAATGGTAATGAGAAAAAAACGCGTGGAAAAATACTTTAAAAATTTCCCACGTTTATTTTCCACTACTTTGGGATAGCATCATACCTGATTATCCACTGCTGAAAGGTTAAGAAATGCGAAAAAAATTGAAGTTTTTTTCGATATGTAAGGATGATTGTGTGTGGGGGGGCACAAATTTGTTTACCCTGTTTGAAGCTTAATAACTCCTGTGTTTTTTTGTCAAAAATTTCTGAAATTTTGCAAAGAGGTTTGTGTATTAGGGGATTGATGCTATTAAATTTTGATGGTTAAAGGTTGACAGGGTGGGAAGATTAAGAATGCATCATATCTCCAGTAGGGTCAGACTTAATGATGATTTTCCTTGTTATTAGCATTTTTTAAAAAACCCATCCCTATCTTCAAAATTAAGCTTTTTGCCATTTTATAATAATTAAAAATATAAAAAAGTCTTTTAATAAAATATAACAGATGGCACCACATACAGTTTTAAATGTTGCCAGGAAAGTTAAGTAACTGGTTGCTGGATTTTTCTATTATAATATATTTTAAAATTAGTTTAGTAATGGTTGTCTGCTCTGTAGATTTTTAGAGTTTTTATTTTTTTCATGAATTATGCATATTTCTATGATGACATTTTATTATTTAGTTATGAGTAACAACTTTAATTTTTAAAACTTTTATTTATAAAAGTTGTTACTCATAATTTTTTATTATAAAAATAATAATGTGGATGAAAAGTGTGATTTTTATCAATGAGAAAAGATATAGTTTAATTTGTGTTACACATATTAATGTCTCAGGTATGGTTGTACTAAACACTAAAGATAATTTGCATTTTTTTCAGGTAAATAAAATTTATATTTATGCAGGGATTTTCCTTTATCCTGTACTTTATAACAAACTTTTTGAAATTGATATGAAGAGGAATCAGTTACCCATTGACTCATGTCAGCTGACATGTCAATGTGTAATTGATTCCTCCTCATAAATTAGATTAATCAGATGGCAAATTTTTTTGCTTGCATTATATGAAAACTTATTTTGAAACAGACTATAGAAACAATAAGCAATTTCAAATTTTCATTAAGTAATGAAACTATTTTAGATGATAAACTTAATGAAGAATACATATGATCTAGTTATTGTATATGCAATTAACCATTAACATTTAGATTAGGAAATTTTAGATGTAAAATTAGTTTTATGTATGTAATATTTAATTAATTTCAATAATAATATTAATTAGAAATGAAATTACTATTAAACTAATTAAGAATAATAAATTGTGTTATATATTTAGGAAGAGAAAGTGGATGATGAAGATGAAGCTGCCAATGTAAATGGAATGAAGAGGCAAGTGTATAAATTTTAAAAATATATCAACAAATTTTGTGTGACTTTAAAAGCTGCATGATTTTATCAAATGTTTCATTATATTTTGCTATATTATAAAAAAAATTTATTATCATTACTTCATTCCATCTGTAAATAAATTCATGTATTCATTCCCTCTCATTGGTTACAAAACTACATACAGCTTTTGGAGTATTTGATTGTAATATAAATTAGTTCTTTATTTGAAATGATCACCTTCTCTCAAACACAAAGCAGTATTTAAATTTGACAGTTTGGATACAATACTGAAGAAATATGAATCCAGAAGCTGTTTCTGCTGCCTGCTGCAATAAGGAGAGGAATGAGTCAGTCAAAATAATGAACAACCAATTTTAAATATGTGGCCTGCAGAATAAAAATTACTTCAGTTTGGATATTTATAGTTTAATGTGAATTTTTCTATATTTTGGAATTGTAATTTTTTCAGTGTATGATGGCTTTTATTGGGCTGCAATTTGAAAAAATTGTACCTATAAATTTCCACTGTTTGTCTGCCTGTCCTTCCTTAATCTCAAAAACAGACGTAGATGAATGTCAAAACCAGATATGGAAAGTTTAAGGGAAGGATGCCCCAATCAACCATACAGTAAAACCTGTCTATGGCGACCACCCATTGTTCCTTCAAAAAGTGGTCTTTTAGACAGGTAGTTGTCCAATATAGGTGGTGCTGTAATAATTTTTTAACTTAGGTATTGCATTAAAAAGTTTTCAATAAATTACTCCAAAATTATAAAAACGTTTAATAATTTAAATTTTTATTATTTCTTTACTAATAAAAAATAGTGTGATAGAAGTTTTCAAGTTCTTATTAATCAAAATTATTCTTATTCTTATTAAAGTTCTTATTAATCAAAATAACTATTTTTCTATAGCTACCAGGTGGTAATAATTGGAGGTGTTCCTCAAAAGTGCCATTCACCAGGAAGAGATATTAAAAAATTACAAGTAAAAAAACCTGTGTAATCTGAATAAATTAAAATTTTTTTAATATAAATAATAACAACTTATTTAAATTATAGTCCCCTCCACTGAAAAAAAGATCACACGTAACTGGAAAATTTTGTATGTAAATTCATTTTTCATTTGTTTTAATATTTATAATTCTTGATATACTTATTTAATACTTGTTATTTTGTGCAGCAAATAGACGTATCTCTTGCAAAGATTTAGGTAAAGGTGATTGTCAGGGTTGGTTGTATAAGCGAAAAATGCACAAAAGCTTTCTAACTGGAGCACGCTGGACAAAGCGTTGGGTTGTTCTGAAAAATCATAATCTGTTTTCCTATCATAATAAAGATGTAAGAATTTGAATTTAATACTTATAAAAATAAATTAATTTTTAATACTAAACAAGAATATATGTTAAAAGTATAATATTTTTCTAATGCTTGATAGCAATAAGGTTTATATTACACACCATTACAAGCTTTGTAATTAATACTCAAAAAGTTTAGTATTTTGTTTTAATTATTAAGTAATAATAATAAATCAAAACCTATAGGTTTAATTCATTTCAATTATTATATTTCTCCAAATCTAGGTGTTGTCAAATCTTAGATGTAATCTAGAATGTTTAGGTCAGATGTGAGAAGAATATTTTTAATTATAATAGAATCCACAAGACAACAGAACACTATTAATATAAAGTAAAATAAAATAATGACTAAAATTTACTGAATTAATATAATGTTTCTACTTATTCTGTTGTTTTGGAACCTGCAACTCTTTAATTTTGCTTTCATTTTTAGAAATAGATAAAAATCTATGGAGCACAAGAGTAGAGGAGTAAGGAGATTGAAGAAACATTATTACACTCTCTTGATTAGACATTTGTTTACCATGACATGTATCTGCACATATTGTTCCTGGTCAATGAATATTGCACAAATACTTTTCTAAATGTATTCAATACATTTAGAAAACTATTTGTGCTTCTGGTGTTCACACATTCAATCAATTTTTTGATCTGTGTTCTAGAATTTGATACAGTAGAGTGTTTATCCGAAAGAATTTTAGTCGGCAAATTTAAATTTTTGCTAGGGCTGTGGCGCTGCAATCTTTGGCTATATCTTGGGGTACTCCAATATTATTTTGTTGGTGTGTGTGTGTGTGCTTTAGCTGGCAGCATTGGCATTTTTTGTCTGGTGTTTTTCTGAAAAGTGTGTGTGGTGCTGAACTTTGTTTGATACTAGATGAACTTTTAAAGTATAATTTTTTTTGTTTTTATATTTTTCAATATATTTATTTTGTTTGNTATGTGTTTTAGCTGGCAGCACTGGCATTTTCGTGTGGTGTTTTTCTGAGGACTGTATGTCGAACGTTTTTGATAGATTAACTTCTAAAGTATAATTTTTTTGTTTTTATATTTTGCAATATATTTATTTTGTTTGTAAAACATAAAAAAATAATTTTTAACGATACAATAGCCATGATTATTATTTTAAAAAGTTTACATTAGGCTTAACATCAACGAAAATTCTACGCGAAGCGACATGCAACGGAGAAAATCTCAACATGGGCTAGGTTAATATATTTTTTCATACATAATCAGTTATCCAAAAATAAAGAAATAATTTTTAACGATACAATAGCCACGATTATTATTTTAAAAAGTTTACGTTAGGCTTAACATCAACGAAAATTCTATGCGAAGCGACATGCAACGGAGAAAATCTCAACATGGGCTAGGTTAATATATTTTTTCATACATAATCAGTTATCCAAAAAATAAGTTATTTGAACAACCCCAGTCCCCAATTGATTTGGATAAATGACACTCTACTGTAGTTCATATAGTAGGAATCTGAGGATGACTAAGTTAACTAAAAGCATTTAGTTTTTAGTATTTAATATGCACACTAACAAATATTTAGTTTCTTAAGTTAATTTTATTCAGGTGTTTCCTATATTAGTTCTTTAGAGAAGATTGAAAGAACAAATTTGCTTAAATGAAATCATTAAATATGAATTATTGAAATCTAATTTATCAATTTTTTAAAAAGTATAAAAATAATATGAATATACAAAGAAAAATCCCTTGCTTCCATTTTCTTATCTGTCGTTTTAACACACCAATGACAGTTCACAAAGAATTCTTCTGTACTTAAATTTATTATTTTATGAAATTTAATTTTTGGCAAGAACACTAGAGGACACTGATTCCCATTTTGCATATTATTGTGGAAGCAGAGCTTCAAAGAAAAGGTTATCTTCATGGTGTGAATTTTTTATGAACTGTTACTGCTGTGTTAAAACGATGGATAAAAATATGGAAGCAAGCAAAGATTTTTTCTTTGTATATTCATAATATTTTAGATATTTTTTAAAACTTGGCCAGTGGTATTTACATTTTCCACTGTTTATTCTAATTTATCAATATCTATAAATGATATTTAACTAAGTAATATTAATATTTAATATGATCTAAAAATGATCAAAAAAATTCATTAGGTCATTGATAATTGAAAATGAATGTGTAATATTTAAACTTTAATACTTTTGATTTGTATTATTGAAATTTATATAATAGTCAAATATAGTAAATATGATTTAAATTATGAATTTGTTTATTACATTATATCCATAATTTGAAACCAAAGTTTATATCAATATTACACAATAAAATCTATTGATTTTTTATTTTATTTAGGATCCTAGAGCAGAATCTCTCATTTATCTTCCTGGATTCACTGTTTCACCAGCCACTGAATGCAAATCAAAAAAATAGTAAGAAAATTTTTAGTTTATTGTTCTTACTGAATGTGATTATTAATTTCATTAACTGTTATGAAATTGCTTTATATACCTTTTTTGTGTTAAAAAGAAAAATTTTTTTAATAATTATAATCTCAGAGTTTTTAATTATAAATTTAACAGTTAATTGTTATATGATTGTTTATTATACTAATATTTATTTAAAAAAATATATGAATTTCAATCAATATGATATTCTTAAATGAATCCTTAGATATTTCAAAAGTGATCTTTATTTTATGACCACTATCAAAAAACTGTCTTGCTATAAATCTGATACAGTAAACCCTCAATTTAACAGACAAAAAATTCCTGTCCATTGGGAAAATTTTAAATCTTTTTATTCATGAATAGTATGTGCTAAAAGGCTAGATTAAAAACTTAGTGACTATAAAGTACTCAGTATACATTATAATAATAGTTTATTCATACTTATACATTATAATAACATTTTAATGCATGTTTTAATACATTATAATAACATTGCATGTTTTAAGTTCATTATTGATACATATTTTAAAACACAATTTAACTTAACAAACTTTCAGCCATAAGGATGCCCTTTCCCTAATTAGTGTATTAAATTGAGGGTTTACTGTATAATATTTTTTCAGTAGAAATAATACTGTTAATATACAGTAAAATTATAAGATTTTATGTACAGTGGAACCCCGGTTAACGAACGTCCTGGTTAACGACCAAATCGGTTAACGAACTTTTATTTTGCAAAAATTTTGTCTTGGATAACGAACAAAATTCGGATAACGAACGTAACGGTATTTTGTGTCAAATTTTAGTTGGTGTTATGCATGCGTGAGTTAAGCATTGCTTTTCCGAGTGTTTGTGCTATACTTCTTTTTTCAGTTTTGTGATTTATATATTTAATCAATATGGCATCCAAGAAAGAAAAAAGTCATAGTGACAATAGAAAATGACAACGCAATATAAACGACAATGCGCTATCGCATTTGAGAAAAATTTTGATTATTAAAAGAGTAAGACAATCAACTTTAGATCAATTTCTTGTTTCTTATGAAAAGAGTTCGTTTGTTTTTTAAGTTATGGCAATGCAACACTTGAGCAATCTGCCTACGGGGAATGCCTTCTGGGAGGTGTTTTTAAGGGAAACTGGCCCCTATTTAGGCGTTACAGACGTGGAGAAAACTCGTAAAATTCCACGTGGCCAGCCTGTCTGAGCGAGGTGTGAACTCACGAACGAACTTCCCGTGTTCAGGGTACTAAGACCGCTTAGCCACTCATTGGCTTTCTTACCGAAAGAGACTTCGACTCGAAGAATCTTCCCATGAAGTGCTACCCGTTATTTTTTTGAAGAGGATTTCCCTTCTAAGCATTAAGGTTCGTATATCTCCACTTTTCTGCCACCAACTACAACAAACGAAGGTATGTACAGTGCTATTTTATTAAATAAAGTTCACATGTTTGTTGCTGTAATGATAGATACTGTACTACGTTTTCCTACATTTTCATCAAAGAAAATCTACTGTGTATTACAAATAAAATCACAAAAATTTCGGAGACAAGAACGGATTAATTGCATTTGCATTAATTTCTATGGGAAAAATTGCTTCGGTTAATGAACAATTCTGTTAACGAACGGAATCGCAGAACAGATTAAGTTCGTTAACCGGGATTCCACTGTATTAGAAGATTAGTATTTACTGTTATAGCAGTGTTTCAACCTATGACACATTGATTTAGAACTGTATGATCAAAATGAACTTTGATCATAAGTCAAAGAACATCTGTATTGTTTTTGTTTAATGTTGTTGTGATAAGTGTTTTTATGAAAATTATTAAAAACTGGATTTTTATATTATTAATTCTCACAAAAATATTGATTATATTCTAACAATATACCATCTGATTAATATCTGTCTTTTCAGAGATTCTAATATACATAGTGTTATTTCTACTTCACTTCATTTTAATTCATTACAGTAGACCCCCCCCTATAACGCTTAGATACGTTCCACGCTAATCGAATTTTACGTTGTAGGAATGATTAAATACATGAGCCAATCGCAGCCCGATAGATGTGAACTTTACGGACTAAGGCTGTTTGAAAGGTTTTCTTCTATAAAATTAACCGATTTTAGAGTAATTCCACTCAACATTTCCAAAACACGTATAATTTTTTAGGAATAATCTGTATAAACTATGCTATAAACAAAAAATTATAGGATTACTTACCGAGTGTGCACCGTTCGACTACGCCGTTGCTCAAAGCTTGTCTTCGTCGCGGAACAGCACACGAAACGGCGGCCGCGATTTCTGATAAATAATTTTTCGCAGAAAAATAANCGTAAAATCTCCGTAGCGTGGCGCCACGCTAGACGGCGGAAATTATATATTTAATTATAATAAAGTTACAATAAGTTAATATATAATTATATATACAGTACCTAATTTATATATAATTAATATATAATTATATGTACAGTACCTAATTTATATATAATACTGTACAGATGATAGCAAACTCAATTTAGCCACTCCTTAGCGTGGCGCAGGGCGGAGGAAAGTAGTTCGGCTGCTCATCCACTATTGGTCCAGATTCTATCAATCTTGCCGCGAAACGAGTCAGCGACGTCGTTTTAGGAGCTCCTTTATACGTATGTTGCTACAACTTTTTCGCTGCGTTATAGGAATTGTCATTATAGGAACGCACGTTACAGGGGGGTCGACTGTATTTAAAACTTTTTTAACACAGCATATTATATTTGTCTAGAAAGTCTGTTAAAATCCTAATTTCTAAATAATGCTATATGCTAAACTTTCCAAATAATTATTATTATGGGTTTTGTTAGTTATACTCGGTTGACACTGGTGGCTGTGTACTATGCTGGACCAGATGCAATGCATAGTAACCAAAACAAGACCAAAATTAAATAAGTGTATCAGTGTGTCTGTCTGTATTCGGGAATTTCTTAACGATATAACATGTATTCAATATAGTGGCCTTCTGTAGTGTGATGTATATGTTTCTATTCAATTGTAATGTGCCCAGGCTTTTGTGTAGTGTGTGGTGTGATACCTGTAGAAAAGAAAATGACAGGTACAATAAGCATCCTATCCATCCTCTGCAGATGCCTTATTTCCTGGGCAAGTTCTGTGTACTTACTAATTTTTTCAGTGCATGTGTTTTGTACATTGTGAGTGTTTGGAATGGCTATGTCTATAATGTATGTGATTTTATTGTGTTTGTCAATGAGTGTGATGTCTGGTCTGTTGTGGTAAATTGTTTTATCTGTGATTATGGCTCTGTCATAGTACATTTTGTGCGTGTTGTTTTCCAATATCGTTTGTGGAATATACTTGTACTACGGTTCGTGAATGTCTACCAATTTGTGTTTCTTTGCAAGCTCTTGGTGTATTATATTTGCTACTTGATTATGTCTGTGTAAATACAGTAGAGCATCGTTTATCCGAAGGTTAGTTATCCGAAATTTCGGTTATCCGAAGGAATTCCAGTCAACAAATTTAAATTTTCGCCAGTCCTGTGGTGCTGTAATCTTTGGCTATGTCTTCGGCTACTCAAATATTTTACATTTTTGATACTAAATTAACTTCTGAAATATAATTTTTTATTGTTTTTATATTTTTCAATATATTTATTTTGTTTGTACAAAATAAAAAAATAATTTTTAACGATACAATAGTCTTCGTTAGGCTTAAAATCGACAAAAATTCAACGCAAAGCAACACGCAACGGAGAAAAATTTCAACACTGGATAAATTAATATATTTTTTCGTACATAATTGGTTATCCAAAAAATAAGTTATCTGAACAACCCCAGTCCCCAATTGATTCGGATAAACAACGCTCTACTGTAATCTGTCTGTGCCAAGAGCTTGCACCCAAATGTAACATGTTGTACAGTTTCTGGCATGATGTGACATGTTCTGCATATGTCATTTGTGAGTGTTGTATCTTTGAGTATGTGTTTTCTGTAGTTTTTAGTATTTATGACCTTATCCTGTATGACAATCATGAATCCTTCCATCTCCTCAAAGAGGCATCCCCAATCTAACCAGCTGTTTGATGCAGTTTTGTCAACAAAATTCTGGGCCAGGTTATAAGGTTGCCTGCCATGGAGTGCCTTTTGAGCCCACAATTGTTTGATGGTGTCTGTGCTTTTTATATGTTGTGTCATGTGTATGATATGAGTGTAAGTTTAATGGTGTGTTATTTGAGTCTGCTAGAGTTACTGCTTTATATAATTGTGATATTTCTTGTTTCCTGTAGAAAAACTCTCGCAGTGACTATTTGTTTGTAGTGAAGGTTTACTTCACTACAGGCCATGTCCACCATTTTTACGTGGAAGGGTTAATCTTTCTATGGTGGATTTAGGGTGATGATGTTTATGCTTAGTAAGTGTTGTTCTTGTTTTCCTTTGGAGTTGCCCAAGATCTGTGTGATTCCAATGTATAACTCCAAAAGAGTATGTGAGTACTGGAACGACATATGTGTTTATTGCTTTAACTGTGTGTTTTGCATTTAACTATGTTCTGAGAATAGCATTTAACCTACTTTGGTATTCTTTAATTAATCTTTGCTTTATTTGTGTATGTTCTGTTTGTTTGGCCTGTTGGAATCCTAAATACTTGTAGAACTCACCCTCTTCTGTAGATTCAGTAACTTCTCCAAGTGCAAAATCTTCTTTCTTCAGGATTCCTTTTTCTATGTGAAGTTTTTTGCATTTGTCTAAGCCAAACTCCATTTGTATGTCCTTGGTGTATGAGTGTGTGATTTGTAGGAGCTGCTGAATTTGTGTGGATGCATAAAGTTTTATGTTGTCCATGTACATGAGATGTGACAGCTTAAACTGTGTTGTTTTTTCATGTCTGATATTGTAGCCATATTGCATGTTGTTTAACATGTTGGATAATGGGTTCAAGGCTAGGCAGAACCAGAGAGGACTCAAGGAATCTCCTTGAAAAATTCCTTGCCTAATGACTACTTGGTTTATTTGTATGGAAGTGTTACTAGCCCTGAGATGTAGTGTTGTTCTGCAGTACTGCATAATGTTTTGGAAGAATGCAATGAGTTTATTATTATTATTAATAGATATGCTTACAAAAGATTTCAGCTTATATTTTTTTTTTGCTTACACAGACACAATGCAGTGACAATTTTCAAACACTAGGCAAATTTTTCATCTTTTTATTCAGTTGGGATGCTTATATTTTTTTCTCAATTTTTATTTTGTTTTCCATCTATTCTTTTTATATTTTAAGTACTGAGAATTAGTTCATAAAATTTATTTTTGTACTTAAATAAAGTATTCTGAAAACAATTTATAAATTATATAACTGAATCATATAAGTATAGGGGAAGATCCTCTAGTACCGGACGGCGGCTAGTATTGGACAAACATTGTTTCTAATATTTGCTGCAAGTGGCAGAACCTGTGAAGACACTAGCATGTCGGGTGAATAAAGAAAGTTCAGATTCCTGCCATATTTTGTCAGTCAGTAGTGTTGTTGACATGTGGCAGAAAAATTTGGTAGTTTTAATGGTGTTTTGAGTGAACAAAGTTGACTTCTGGTTGTCATAGCTAGACTGAAAATGAGAATAAGGTTTTTTTTTTTTTGTTTATTGTTGAAGACAACTTGTAGGCTGGAAATCTCCTTAAGCTTACTAATATGTATGTGGTAACCGATGTTTTGTTCTATGATGTTTCAGGTTGTATCAGACAGATATGTTGCATGTTATATCGGACAGATATGTTGCATGTTATATCAGACAACAATGTTGCAGTTTGTATGAGACAGAGGTGTTACAAGTTGTATCAGAAACAGTTTAAAATTGATAAGAATTATATTCTCATGGAATGTTTTTGTTTTACAAGACAATATGGGTAAACTATAGCAGAATAAAGGAAAGAAAGAATCTATGCAGCTAAGAGAAAATGCTGGGAGAAAATTTTCTACATAAAGAGAAACAAAGAAAGAAAACAGTAAATCAGTCTAAATCAGTTCAAGAAAAGAGAGAAGACCTAGAGACTCACTGCATCATCTGTGATGAAACCTTTGAAAAAGACTGGATTTGGTGTAGGATTTGTGAAGATTGGGCTCACAAAAATTGCACTGATCTTCTTGAAGAAAACAAATATTTTTATGAATGTGATGTTTGCATTACCAAAAAAATAAACACAAAATGCATTTGTCATTAAAACAAATTGTTAAATTTTCAGACTGATAATTTTTAAAAATTTTTTCCATTTATATTACTTTCTTATCATGTATTAACTTAGTTTTATGATCTGTAATTTGTACTTTTATAAATTTATCAATAATAACTCTGCCTAATAATAAAAAGTTGTTTGTGAAACCAAAAGTTATTCTCTTTTTGCAGATTTTTCTCATGTCCGATACAACCCTCCTCAATTGAGCTTGGTAAAAATATAATGTCTGTAAAAAGTGTAAAAAAATGATTATCTTTATGAAAAATGAGTTTTAACAGGTGTTTTTAATAAAACAATGAAGTTTTGCATGGAATGTAATCTAGACCAATTGAGCTGTAAAATTTTTTTATAATATAGGAAAAGCTTAGGTGTTCGATACTAGAGGATCTTCCCCTAATATCAGCATAAGTATAATAAGAAAACAATAAAAATGGATAATTTTTTCATTTAGTCAAAATGATCTACAGTATTTTAAAAAATAAAGTCTTTTTTCTCTCTAATTTTTTAAAGTTTGTGATGTAATGATTTGATAATTTTTTTATTTTAAAAAATTGCATATATATATATATATGCATTTATATATATATATATGCATTTATATAGTTGTTCCATCTGGAAAATTAAAGTAATCGGAAAAAAATGTATTTTTATATAGAATCATTTGGTTCTGTTTTTTAATTTTATGAAATTATTTCATTAAAAAGTGATTATATTATGTTTTAGTTTAAATTAAATTTGGTTAAATTTTACTTCATTTCTGTTTTAAAATTGTGAATATTTAATTTTTAATTTTTTCCTTTAAGTTCCTTTAAATTACATCATCCAGGTACAACTTTTTATTTTGCTACAGATTCACAAGAAGATATGACTAAGTATGTTTTGCATTATTTAGTTTATTCAGATATAAAAATATTAAATAATAACTATAATATAAACATTAATCTCATTTTTAAAATTTGTTCATGTTTGTTAGATGGATGAATAAAATGGGTTTAGCTGCAATTTCTTATGATGCCACATTGGATGAAACAACAAGTGGTTTTACTAAAGTTGAAAGAATTGGAGGAATAGAAAGTAAATAGTTTGAGTAATTTTTTTACTTTAAATAATTTAACATTACTAATAAAACAACAAACTGTTTCAGATGCTTATTATAGTGAAACTGAAGATGAAAGTGAAGATAGTAGTCCTCTTGGCTCTACTTATTTATGTAGCCATGAAATTTCACCTTGTTCTACATTATCAGGAAATTCAAAGGCAAATTATTATTATGAGTATTTGCAAGATGATAGTGTTCATCAATCAATGATGTCCCTACACAATTATTCAGTTATAGATGGCCAACAGCCAAAGCATCGTCATTCAAAGCAAACAAGAGGTTCTATTAACAAACAAACTAAATATTCTAATATTTGTTTAAGTAAATGTGAAGGTTTGCAGACAGAAAAGGATGATGAATTAAAATACATCCAGACTTTTCGTTCAGGTTATATGAGATCACTAAGTTGTACGGATGCTTCATCTCATTATATTCAACGTCTTCATAGTTCTGAAAAGCATGCTCAACATCCTTCATCAGCATTTCAGTTTCCTCGTAAAATGAGTTATCAGGAAGTATCCAGTGGTACATCATTTGGAAATGAAGAAAAATATGCAAGTTCAAAAGCTCATCGTCTTTCTGGTCAGTGGTCTAATTTAGAAGACAAATTACAAGATTTTTCTACGGGTTCTTTAGGAAGACAGAGAGTTATGGTTAAAGAAATAACTCCTGGACTTGTGGCAAGAATGACGGGTTCATATAATAATCTAAGTCAAAACCAAATACAAGCTGCAACAGCTGAAAGAAAAAAATCTAAAGAACATTCTGCTCCCATTCCAGGTTATGTAGCTAAATTATCTGGATCTTTTGACCAATTAGCTAAATGTGGACAAAAATTTCCAAAAAATTCACTTGAGAAAAATAAAGAAATAATTCCAGAAAAAATCAAAGAGAATAATATAAAAAATAGTAGTTCTGATCAAAACAGTAGTAATGAAGAAACTAAATCAGAAAAATTTGTTAGTATGTTAGATAAAGAGTATCATAGGCTATATGGAAAGAAAAAGCCATCTACTATATCTCTTCAACCTGGTTTCAACAATGATAAACAGCCAAGGAAACTTGTTAAAGAGCAGAATGGTAGTAGCAGCAGCAGCAGTGGTGTTAATACAAATAATAATAAATCTGTGAAGTCTTCAATTCCTATTTATAACAAATCATCATTTTCAAAACCATTAAATGAGCATAATTTAGATAATACTAATAAACAAAAAATTACAACTTTAGTTTATGATAAAGATCCTACATCACATTCATCACCAAATGAATCTTCTCAAAGTATTCCTTTAAACATGTATACTAAAAATAAAAGTGGTCCAGAATATTTTCAGTTTGATCAAATACCTTCAAGTCACAATTCAAAATTTTCTTCAGATAAATTATCATCACCTCAAATTGCTGAAGTAAGCACAAATAATGGATTACGACGAACATCAAAAGAAAGTCTCTCAGAAGTTGGTGATCATCCTTCATCTAAATCATCATTTAAGTTTTTTGGTTCTCCTAAATTCATGAAAAAATTTACTTCACCTAAACCTCAGAAAAAACATTTCAAAAATAAATTTACTAAATCAGAAGAACGATTTGGATCTCCTCTTTCCGAAAGAAAATTTTTAGGCTCACCAAAACTTGCACGTGCAATTTTTGGTTCTCCAAAATGTGAACAGAAAACAGTCACAATGTCATCAGCTGCTGTGCAGACGGAAAAAACTTTTAATTCATCTTGTCAAACCGATAATCCTCCAAAACCACTAAGGACGCAAAAAAATGATGAGTCCCATCAAGAAATAGCTGACGAATGTTTAAAAACTAGTAGTAATAGTAGTCTTAACAGTAGTGCTTCTGGTAGTGCCATCTCGTCTACCGGAAGTTCACATTATTACGTTGAAACAAGAATTCGTCCACAAATAACAATCAGTTTACCTCTAGTGACAGAAAGCAACAATGACGACAGACCACCTACTCCAGAAACTCCACGCACACCTAAACCCACTATGGGGATAGCAATGATTGGAAAAAGACGTACCCCCAGTATCAGTAATGAAGGAATTAGAACAGGAAAGAGTAATGAACAAATAAAAGATGATATCACACAGTATGAAAGAAATGAAATCACTTTTGATATTAACAAAGATCAAGGTAAATGGTTTTAATGAATGCATAAATATCAATATTTATTCATGTGTTTTAATTTTAGAGTAACAATATAATTTATATTAAAAATTTTAACACAGTTTGATTTTAATCCATCTAAATTGAATCAAAGGAAATAACATTACATTATTCATGAAACAAAATGATTCTTTAGTTAAATTACTTATGCTTTCAAAAAGTTTCAGTTGAAGTTCCACACAAAAATGAATTTGAGCAATTGCATTTAGATGCCAACTTAAATTTTAAATAAAGATATATAAAATATCAATATTAGTAATACTAGCATTCATTCATTCTCTTTATAATATGTTATAATATTTCCATCAGACAAGAACAACAATAATTTTTTTTTTTCCACTTTGGATAGTGCTGCTGTTCTCTGATATTTTATATGCCTTTGGCATTCTGTAATATGCATATTAAATTTCTTTCTTATGCTCTAATATAAAGTAGGGGTCTGCTTCCTGGTTTTTTTAATGGTATGGCATATATTCTTGTTCTCTCCTTGTACTTCCATCTGTCCCTATTGTTGCAAAATAACCTACAGAAAGTGGGCAGGGATGTTACTAGTAACTGGAAAAGTAGGTTTATTGAATTATCTCCATTTTTGTCTCAAATTTTAATTGAAGCCACTTTACTTGCTGAAAGTGAAGGTACTTTAAATAAAGAATCCTTTTGCATCATAGATAGTGTGATGTTATTTCTTTTAACTCTCAGAAAATAATTGATTTAAAGTAAGAAAGTTATTTCAACTGTAGCCATCTAAATCAAACCTTGACAAAAACCTTTAATATTCAGCCTTATTAACTTTTCAATCTTTTTCGACCATTTGAATGACCTTCAGGAATAAAAAATCGCATAATTTTGATTTTTTAAAACAAAATTTGTTTTGAAATGATTTTAAACATTTGAATTTTCTTAGAAGTCTACTGTGCAAGCCCATAAATAAAAAATACAATATATATGGGTTACTTGTACAAATATACACATAAACAATTCATAAATATAATAAAAGAATAAATAAATAAAAACAGTAACACAACTGTGCTTAATTCTTTAACTGTTCATCCCTTTTTCATACTAAAATATTCAGACTATGCCCACTCTCCATGCCACTGAGACTTTATTTGATTCTCTAAAGTTTATTGCTTGTCCTTCCTGGTTGGTCTTGTGTATTTGCCATGCTTCTATGTATTTAAGGTGTCTCTTGTCCTGAATCTTTTGTATTACTTTAGAGCTAAAGTAATACAAAAGATTCAGGACAAGAGATGCCCAGTCCACTATGACTTCTGTTGGGTCTGCTATGATGTACACGTCCGTCCATAATGCTTGTCTAACAGCCGATCGATTGCGCATGGGCGGAAGCAGTTCAATTGATAAGCCAGGACGTCCTACCTGTTATCAAAGGCGTTTGGAGTGGACTGATCCGATTTGCGCCGTAATAGGGGTGAGGAAATCGAGCCGGAGGGACTTGCAGCGTGCGGTCACGGGTCAGACGGTTTGACTTACTAGTCGCTCATCACTGATTGCTTAGCGTCCGCCGTTTTTATTTTAAAATTGTAAAATCGCAAATTATCACAAATTATGATTCTATCTGTTATTTTGTTACTTTTCTTTCTTTATAATGTTTTATTTACTTTATTTTCCTGTAATTAGAGACAATACGGCTTTAAAATAAACAGATCAGATCTCACTTGCCAATAGATTATCTCAACTTTCACCAATTGTCGTCGGTTCCTTTGTAATCGGATAGGAATTGACCGTGTTTTAAAGTCCAGTGTTAAGTGTTTATTGCTTTTGCGGTAATATGAGTAGAGTAGCAGAGTCCCTTAATGAACCGCGTTTTATTACCGTTTAAACAACTTCTCCCCACTTCTTATTCTTAGTAACTAGACACGTCTGTCAAGGTCGGTTAAACTTTATTACTTTCACAACAGGGTGTCAAGTGAGCTGCCACCCACACCCACCGTTAACGACAACAACGCGCGAAGTATCACGTTACTCTGTAAACAANAACTTTAACCGACCTTGACAGACGTGTATAGTTACTAAGAATAAGAAGTGGGGAGAAGTTGTTTAAACGGTAATAAAAGGCGGTTCATTAAGGGACTCTCCTACTCTACTCATATTACCGCAAAAGCAATAAACACTTAACACTAGACTTTAAAACACAGTCAATTCCTATCCGATTACAAAGGAACCGACGATAATTGGTGAAAGTTGAGTTAATCTATTGGCGAGTGAGACCTGATCTGTTTATTTTAAAGCCGTATCGTCTCTAATTACAGGAAAATGAAGTAAATAAAACATTATAAAGAAAGAAAATTATCAAAATAACAGATAGAATCATAATTTCTGATAATCAGGGCCGCGATTTGACGATTTAAAAAAAAAATAAATACAGCGGACGCGAAGCTAGCATTGATGAGCTACTAGTTATGTCAACCCGTAGCACGCTTGACTGCACACATTAGTCTCTCCCGCTCGATTTCCTCGCCCCCATTACGGCGCAAATCGGTCCAGTCCACTGTAAACGCCTTTGATAACAGGTAGGACGTCCTGGATTATCAAGTGATCTTCTTCCGCCCATGCGCTGTCGATCGGCTGTTAGACAAGCATTATGGACGGACGTGTACTCCAGTGTCTAGATTGAACTGAAGAGCAGTAGAGGAAAGTAAAGAAGGCTTTGCCTGCTGTTAACTTCAATTGTTTGTAATTTTTAACTTATAAATGCATATTTTACGTATACAGGGTGTTTCATTTTAATCACTACAAGCAAATATCTTGAGAAATTTGCATGTTAGAAAAATAAACACACACAGGTTAAACCTTCGTAATTCAGAACGGTAATTTAATATTTAAAATATTCTAATGTTTTTGATAAATACTAAACTTAATCACATTGTTTGTTGTATAAATGAAATGTTTTGAAGAATGCACTACAAAATTTAAAACTAATGTATATTGTTATATAATTGAAAAAATACAATAAGCAATTTTTTAAACTTACAGATTTGTCAACAAAAATTATCACAACATAACTTGTGTATTACTGAAAAAATTAGTGAATAAAACATACATTCAAAATAAACAAACAAACTGCCCAAAATTCCATTAACAAACATTAGATGATACAGGCTTATTGTAAGAAATGTTGCCAGGTGTATGAAAGATTCTTTTCCTCTTTGTAATTTATAGGGTTACATGATAGCTGGTCAATGATTAACTGGATGACCATCATTTAGGCCAGAGAAACTTCAAAATTTTTAAATGCCTAGCAAGTGTACGATTTTTTGGATTATTTATTTATTTTTTTATTTTTTGTAAATATTGGTAGATTATATATAAAAGTAAATATGGCTAAAACTTAGAGTTATGAATTGTAAATTGCAAGCTATTTCCAACTTCGGGAAAGGAAATATTTTGGAACAAAGTACTGTATCATCGTTAATTATTTTATTTTAGAAACAGTTTACAAAGCACATCAAAGAAAAGCAGTTCTTACAAAACAAATTATTTCAAAGAGCTTTTATACTTTTTCACTTTACTATATTTAATTTTATGTAATTGTTGTCTTTGTTTTTACATATATTTGTTAATTTGGGGGATAAATATCAATTGTCCTTTGGAACATTTCTATTTATTTGTAAAAATAAATAAATAAATAATGTATGTTACATGCATAAATATTTATTAATTACAAAATTGTTCTTTTAATTTATTTAACTCATTTCTTAAAAATTATTAATTAAATTTACAGTGTATTAGATCAATAGAAAAAAATAGTAATTTTAATAAAGAAAACAATAAAACAAAATNATGTCAAAAGAAACTTTCGATTTTAGAAAGGAAGTTGTTTCCTTTCCACGGCAGACTCACGAGATGAGTCAAAAATACAAGCTTCTGCACATGCTACTCAGCCGTCAGAGAGAGCCAATATAAAAGAGACATTTTTCCGCCATTCGGGGCAGTCCGTTGAAATGGGTATTGCCACACGAGACAGTCCGTCGAAAGGGGTATTGCCACACGAGAGCAGTCCGTCAAAAGAGGTATTGCCACACGAAGAGAGATTGTCATACAATATAGGCAGTCTGTCAAAGAAGGTATTGCCACACAACTCCCGAAAAGAATTAGCCATACGATATAGACAATATGTCATACGAATTCGATATGTCATACGAATTTGTTAATTTAAAGTCCATACTATAGAGCCCTCCATATGAAGTATACGACAAGATTGTCATAAGAGAAGTTATTTAAGGAAAGTGACATAGAAAAGAAAAGAAGAAGAATAGTTATAATTATAGGAGATTCTCATACAATGAAAGATTGAAAGAACTGAGAAGGTAATATGATAATTGTTAGATCAATGTAAACTCTCTCTCATGCGTCAGGTTTAAAATAAGATTAGGTTAAGTTAGTTATTTAGATTCAGGGTTAAGGATGATTTGTTATTAATTCATTTGTGTACTTTATATTGTTTGATTTACTTTATAAATATGGTTTGGTTAATGTTAGTTATTCATACTCATTCCTATTCAAGTTACCTACATTCCTCATACTCACAAGTTAAAGATAACGCATGTTAATCTGCATGTAATAAATCCGATTAACTGGTGTCTATGGTCCTGACTTGGATAGAGACTTCACTGTTTATATCCCTTTTCACTTTAAAGCTTTTCTTAAAAATTTAGAGATCAAATCTCACGATTCTAAGCCGATTAAGTGGTGCTCTAGGTTGTACCCCGGCTAATCTCACACATTCTTTTAACTTGTTCAACTCATTTCTTAAAAAATTTTTTAAAATTTACTGATAATAGGTCGATAAAAAAGAATGCTGATTTTAAAAAGGAAAACAATAAAAAAAATTGTATTTTGTCTATTATTGATTTTTTGCTTTGTCACCTGGATGTTTAGCACCCAGTAGGCAGAAGTTCAGTTGATTATCACCCACTTGCTCTTGCCCAGTTGATAGTGTTTCAGTTTATACACCTGCTTTTGATTTTAGTTTTGTAAATTTCCAAT